ATGAAGAGCCAGGGATCTTCCCCTGAGCCGACACAGAGACCGACAGAGACTTCCCCTTCCGGTCTCCCAAACAGTGAAAAGGAACAGCTGCATGCCGCAGCCGCTCATAGCTGGTGTTTCCGGTGAGCAGCCCCAGAGAGCGAAGACATTTGCACAACATAATGAATGGAGTTAAAATCTGAACTGTCGATGCAGAAAACTGCTGAAATGGTCAACGGCTTGTTGTGTGAACTTACACCACATTAAAAGCTGAAACGGGCACACACACATGGACAACCAGACCCGTCGGTGTGCTGCTGTGGACTGTGGATCGTGTCTGGCTGTCCACCTGCAAAACCACCCGAGGCCACTCTTATATGCGACTAAGGAAGCCTTGAGAAGCCACACAGGCCACTGTTGTCCCATTGAGTCATGACCGTGACTTGGGACCAAGATTCAGTGCATCTCCACAGCCCCCAGAATGAAGACAACTCCACCCTCGCATCTAGCTCCACCGCCCCCTTCACTCCTTCTCCAGCCAGGGGGTGTCCCCAGTGAGGTGGGGCCAGGTGAAGGAGCCCTGACATCTCAGGAGGTTCCGTTTGTGGTTTTGTTACGGTTGCTCGTTGGTCCATGTGGACAAGGAGCGCTGGGCTTGATGTGATGTTAACTAGGATACAATGTTCCACATACACCAAGTCAAATGGTGTTGATTTGGTCACTGTATTTCACAATTAGTTATGTTGTTGCATAGGGTATTTTAATACACAACTAGTCATGCCGCTGATTAGGAGATAGCATTCCACGTACAACTAGACTTGGTGTTGCCCAGGTCACGACATTCCATCTACAACTAGACACGATGTTCTCTTGGGCAAAGGACGGTGAGGGTGCGCATCGTAGAAGTCACAGAGGACTCAGTCACAGGCATGGCTATAGAAGCCATGCAGTAGGCGGACGGACGTCCCCCCTTCCTGGGGTGCTGCAGTCTAATTCGATGCAGAGGCATGCGGAGATAAAGTGCCAGGAAGAGGGGCCCTCCCCCCACATCTCTTCGAGGTGCCCAAGACTCCAGTGGTCACGTCTGCCCTGCTCATTGGGAAGGTCTCAACCCCAAGCACTGGGCTGGGCCCCCCAGAGGTTGCTCCACACTCCTTGCCACGGAGTCATCTCCCCCCGACAGCGCCCCCATGGGGGGAAGTGGACCTGCCCCTGTGAGCTTCTGAGACTAGAAAATCTTCTCTTGCTCCTGAGGAACCGCCGGTGGTTTCAAACTGCTGACCTGCTGCGGCTCTGCTACCTCACGGCTCCACCGGGGCTGGCTCAGCCAGGACAGAGAGGATGGCTGGAGGAGGGAGTGATTGATCACCAAGGTACTTCCTGCATCAGCTCTTCCTCCGAGCAACCGCATTTCAAAAAAAAGTCCTTGGAGGTGAAAATAATGAAAAGGAACAAATTCCTTCAAAGCCCTGCAATCTCAGAGGCGCTGGGGCTCACTGCAGGGCCAGGTTGCTGGTGTAAGCTGTTAAAAAAAACATAGGGTTTCTGGAAACCTAACAAGACATTAGCGTTTTCGAAGCATAAAGTCAACATGAACTTGAGGCGCTGTGCTTTGTTCTGGGAAGCGCTGGGACATATTTAAACTGGGATGCAGTTAAACAATCCAAGCCGGGCTATAAGGTGGGGCTGACGGAGGCAGAGGGCTGTCCAGGCGGGCTCCCTCAGAGTCCCATCGGCAGTTTCGTGAGCACTGGGCTCTGAGCAGCTCCCCTGTCTTCACGCTTCTTCTCCCAGCTGCTTGTTCTTGCCAAGAGTGGCTTCCACTTTCAACAGTCTTGACCAGGACAATTGTGTTAGGCTGGGTTCCCCAGAGAAGCAAAACTGCTGCGGCTTGTATGTGTCTGTTTACAGAAAGAGATGGACACTGAGAAAGGGCTCACACGCTCGTACGAGTGGGTAAGGCCGGTCTGGTTCAAGTCCTTCAGTTGGATGTCACCTGGAGGCTTCTCCTGACTCCAGTGTCTGCAGGGGATGATGAGCAGGAAGTGGGAAGATGGATTAGGAGGGCCACTGGCTGGCGGATGCCGAGTTGGATGATTCCAAGGCCGGCAGTCTCCCGATGGCTCCTGACATCGGCAGGCGATATAACCAGAGGTTAACGAACCAGATGCGGGAGCCAGCTCCATACAGACGGTCCGTCTAAACTAAGAGTTGCCACACTCCAATGAAGCCTCCCTCAACTATGTCAAGGGTGTGAGCAGATGGAAGAGACGGTGCTCTGGCCCTTTCTCCCCCAAACTGCTTGGCTGCTTCATGGAAGATCCTATCTTGGGCTGACTTCTCCCCTTAGATCACAGCAGGGGAGAATTCTGGCCCGGTCAAGCTGCCCTCAAACCTAACTATCACAACAATAGTGGAATATACCGACCCAAACCATGTCACTTTGAGGACACAGCTGCACCTGACCCAAGCCATAGTATTGTCAAGACCTTGTCTGCATTCAGATTATGCAAAGGCATTTGGACTCATAGCCATCCCAGTGGGTCACAACCAACTCTGGATGGCACTGAGGAGAGGGGAACTCCGGGACCCTCCTTTTGTTCACGTAGAACCTGCCCACGGATCAAGAGACTCCGGCCTGGTTTCAATCAGGACAGTCTGTGTCCTGTCACCATGCTCATCACTCTGTATGCTGAGCAAAGCCTCAGAGAGGCTGGGCTCAGGGTCAGAGGCGGCTTAGGAACAAGCTGCCGTTTGCACACGACACAACATCGCTCGCTCAAAGGGCGGAGCCCTTGAGATGCTTGCTGACGCAGGGGAAAGCTGCAGCCGCCAGTGGGAATTCCAACTGAATGCTCAGCAAAACCAAACCAACATTCTTACAGCTGGCCCACAGACAACATCAGGATGACATGGAGAGAAGATGGAAGTGGTCAAGGGTTTCGTCTTGTCTGACCCACCGTCAGTGCTCCCAGGAGCAGCAGTCAAGAGATCAAAGGGCACGTGACATCGGGTCAATCGGCTGCACAGACTTGGTTGAAGTGTCGAAAAGCAAGCGTGTCACTTTCAGGACTAAGGCGCACCTGATCCGAGCCAGGTCTTTTGCTGTCACCTGGTCTGCACGTGGAAGCGGGACCCTGACTAAGGAAGACCGAAGAGCATTCCATGCATTGAATTGTCGTGCTGCGGGCTCTCCGGGAGGGTGGAGGGAAGGTGGGTGGGAAGGGGGAACCGATGACAAGGATCTACATATAACCTCCTCCCTGGGGGACGGACAGTGGAGAAGTGGGCGAAGGGAAATGTAAGATATGACAAAATAATAATAATTCATAAATTATCAAGGGTTCATGGGGGAGGGGGAGCAAGGAGGGAGGGAAAAAATGAAGAGCTGATACCAAGGGCTCAAGTAGAAAGCAACTGTTCTGAGAATGATGAGGGAAACAAATGTACAAAAGCGCTTGACACGATGGATGGATGTGTGGATTGTGATAAGAGTTGTGCGAGCCCCCAACAAAATGATTTAATTATTAAAAAAAGAGAAAGCCCTGTGGGCTCTTAAAAGAACAGATCTGTTTGAAGAAGTGCAGCCTGACAAAGGCTCCTTAGAAGCAAGGGTGTCGAGACTCATGTGCTTGGGCGGGCTGTCAGGAGAAGCTAGTCCCCGGAGAAGGACACCAGGCTTGGTAACGTAGCGGGGCAGCGACCAAGGGGAAGGCTCTTGAGACGGATGGCACTGTGGCTGCAACAATGGGCTCAAGCACAGGAACACTTGTGGGGATGGTTGTGTGAGTCTGAGCAGACCAGAGAAACAAATTCACAGAGACACTCCTATGTGTATAAGAAAGAGCTTTAGATACAAGAGCAATTGAATATTGAGAAAACACCCCAGCCCAGTCCAGATCAAGTCCTTAAGTCTGATGAGCCCATATGTCCAATACCAGTCTGCAAGTTCCTCCTCAGACTCAGGTAACACATGCAATGACGTCGAGCGCAGGACGATCACAGGCCAGCGGGTGGAAGGTCTTGCGGATGCAGTGGCAGTGGAAGCATCTCAGCGCTGGCAGGGGTCTCCACGTGGCTCCTCCAGCTCCAGGGCTCTGGCATAGCTCCATGTGTCTTCTCCACAGAAATGTCTCACAGGGAGTGAGAGTGTGTCCTGCCTCCAGTGAGCCATTTGCCTCCTTAGGGCCTCCAAATAAGGTTCTCAAGCAGCGACCTGATTGACAGGCTAAACTCCACCCTGTCCCTCTTCAGTCTCAAATTGACAACAGATGATGTAAGGACCACAAGGGCGCAGGCCTGGGTAGTGTTCTTTTCTGTTGCGGGCGGGGTCTTTTTGTGTCAGCACTGACTGGATGACACCTACCAACAGTAACTTTTCTGAACAGGGTCTCGGGCCCTCACCTTCACAGTCTTTCCAGTGAGTGGGCCTGGTGACCGCCACCAGCAGAGGTGTCCCTCAGGCTGGTTAGCCATGCAGACACCTGGCCCGTCCCACACCTAGAGCGTCCAAGCCTACATCCCAGCAGGGCTCCTTGACCTCCAGCTTCCCCATCCTGCACCAGGCAGCCAGCGAGGGAGGTTGGAGTCCTGCTGAAGAGCCCGGCTATGCTGACAGGGGCCACCATGGGGCAGTGTTGATGCCCAGAAAACTGGCGTTGGGTCAGAGGACCGGGCAGTTTGTGGCAAAGATGGGGGCGGGCAGTAGCAGAAGCTGGGGCTTGGTGTCCGATGACTGTTCCTGCTGGTCCACTGACCCGCACCCACAAGGTTCAGCTGGACTTGCTTCTTCTACATACACGGGGCTGCTCACTCTCCTTCCCTGTGCTACTGCCCCTCCCAGCCTCCTCCTCCATCCCTCTGACCCCACTTCCCTGTGCTACTGCCCCTCCAGCCCCCTCCTCTGTCCCTCTGACCCCACTTCCCTGTGCTACTGCCCCTCCCAGCCTCCTCCTCCGTCCCTCTGACCCCACTTCCCTGTGCTACTGCCCCTCCCAGCCTCCTCCTCCGTGCCTCTGACCCACCCTCCATCCCACTCCTGCAGGGGGTTTTGTTCATCGCCTGCAGTCCTTTTCCAAATGGGCACCTTCCTGAAGGCGTGGCTCCTCCCTCCTCCCTCTTCTTGCCTGAGGCCCCTGGGAAAAGAGAGGGGACCCAAGACGCCTACTGCATGCTTGCCCTCTGAGCATCTCTCCCTGGTGAAGCTCCAGCCCATCAGCCCTCTCCCAACCTGGGCATGCCCTCCCCTGCTCCCCCTCCCCTGGTGCTCCCTGCTGGACTGCTGGTGTTGTCCTCTCAGCTTTGTTTGGGACCAGTGTCCAACGGAGACCCGTGTGCAAGTCCCACCCTCAATGTCCTTCTCAGGACCCCTGGGGCAGCAGTGGGCCAGGGCAGCACTCTGGTTCTGGACTCGAGTGTCCTGTTCTGGGGAGGAACTTCTCTGGCGACTGGACCCTGGTATGGGGTGGGCATGCCTGGGGGTCTGAGGCTGGGCTGCCAGCCTGTGCGTCCACAACTAAACGAGCTCTTGTTCAGTGCCGTCAAGTGGTTCTGACCCGGAGCGACCCCGTGGGAAACCATCCTCACCACTGTCTTATGTCTGAGCCCGCTGACGCAGCCCCGGTGTCGGCCCATCTCATCCAGGGCCTTCCTCTGTGTCCCTGACCCTCTGCTCTACCAGATATGACGTCCTTCTCCAGGACCTGGTCTCCTGATGAGGACAGTCTCCTATGTGACAGTCTCGCCATCTTGTTTCTAAGGAGCCTTGTTTTGCACTTCTTGCCAGATGGTCTCTGTTCTGGCAGTCCACCGACCTTCAGCGGTCCGTGCCTACACTGGCGTTCAAATGCACTGCCTCTTCCGCCGTCTCCTTTGACGTGTGTTTCCGCATCAGCCCCGAGCTCCTGCAGGCTGGGTCCCAGCCCTCCACAGCCAGGCGAATGGCACTGTCAACGGAGTGGTAGGCATCTCCTGGTTTCCTGGTGCACCACAGCATCTGACACCCCTGCGGTCATTTCTGACAGGTGTGCCGGTGTGATGGAGACACTGTGAGATGCTGTGCGCATTCCCAGCAAGTGACCAGACCAAGACGCCAGACCCCTGCCGCTGAGGCGAGTCCGGCGCTCTGGGGGGCCGGGCAGAACTGCCCCTGTGGGTTTCTGCAGCTCTCACTCTTTACTGAAGCAGGCAGCCTCATCTTTCTTCCTGGGAGAGGCTGGTGGCTTGGAATTGCTGGCCTTTGGGTGAGAAGTCCAGCGTCTAACCCACTGTGCCACCGGGCCTTTTCCTACGAGGAAGCACAGAGACCGACCTGCTGGACGCAGGATGGACACAGACCTTCCGTTCGAATGCCAGCAAGGCAGTGTCCATGGAGTACCGAGGGAGAAAGACCAGGCTGTCTGCTCCCATGAAGAGGGACGGTCTTGGATGCTCCAGAGTGGCCGCAAGTCGGAGTGGACTGGCAGTGCTGGGTTTGGTTATGAGAGGGACACCGCAGATCTAGGGGAACCTCTACTAGGAGACTCGAGATGCCGCCAGCTCCCCACCCTGGCTCCCCACTCTGGGCAGCAGCAAGGATTTTTATTACAAACGCAGGGTGATTCCGGAGAGCCATACACCCCCCACCCCCCATCAGACCGAGAGTGATGTGCAGCGGGTCCCCCCGGGGTGTTACCATGGTACCCATCCTCCTCCACATCAGTAGCAGGTCCTCAGTGCAAGATGCCTTCAGGCTCCAGGAGCAGGTAGTCCTGCAGGGACCTGGGCAGGGGCAGCAGGGGGACCAGCTGGAAACAGCGCTTGCCAAACAGCTTCCGGATGGCGCTCCGGCAGAGGTGCTGCAGGCAGCGCGGGGTGCCGGCCAGGCAGAGGAAGGACTGGTAGAAGGGCTGATGCATCTGGGAAGCGAAGCAGGAGTGTGAGTCTATGTCCCGGGACCGGCAGGATCCTCCCCCCTGCCCCAGCTTTGAGGCCCGTGACTGCTCACAAGATCCAGCCTTGGCTCAGGCTGGGCCCCAGTCCAGTCTGTTTTGATTCACAGCGACCCCCTGTGTGTGTAAGCATGTCTGTGTCACGGTACAAGTGCTCTGTGGGGTCTCCCATGGCCCTGACCTTCCAGAAGCAAGTGGCCAGGCACGTACTCTGAGGCAATGGGGGTGGATTAGAACCGCCAACCTTTTGGGTAGTCTTGGCAGCCGCGCAGGACCACCTGCGACCAGATGACCACACTGGGAAGGACAACTTCCTGTTTCCTGGGGGTGACTTCCTGTTTGCCCAGCCCGCCCCCTGGCGCCCTTGACACTGAAGGTTCCTGTGGCTGCTGTTGGTCGGCTCTGACTCAGGGTGGTCCTGCGGCCTCCTCACCATGTCCTGTGTGAACCCATTTGCCAAAGGTCTTCCTCCTTTTCGCGGCCCATCTGGGAGGAAGACCCTCATCAAGATGGATCGACTCCATGGCCATCCCTGATGGCACAGTGGATACGTGCTGGGCTGCTAACCTCGGAGTCAGCAGTTCGAAACCCCCAGCTGCTCCCAGGGAGAAAGATGAGGCTCTCTGCTCCTGAAAAGAGTTACAGTCTCGGAAACCCACTGGACAGTTCTGCCCTGCCCTGTAGGGTCGCTGTGAGTGGAAATCCACTCGAGGGCAGTGAGCTCAGTTTCTGGGCTTCTGCTTTACCAAGTGAGACATCTTTCTCCAGGGCCTGGGCCTGGGCCCCTCCCGATCACACGTCTGGAGTCTAGGTGCACTCCACACATCTCTGCCCCCAGGGGACCTTCGTTTTTCTTTGATGGATGGGCCCAGGAACCCTGTGGAAGCCAGCTGGAGCCCAGAACTGCTTTAGAGTTCAATAGTGCACCCAGTGGGCATAGGCAGCGCTGGCTTAGTGGGAGGACTCTCCTCTTTGAAGCTGTAGACCCAGGCTTGATTCCGGGCCAGGGAGTCTCAAGCTCAGCTGCCACGGTCCTCATGGGTGGCCGGCGTGTTGCTAGGATGCCCAACAGCTGCCAGCGGAGCTTCCAGACTAAGAGGGACTGGGGAGAAGAGACTAGGAAGAAAAGCCCGGCCCATCTCTATCTGAAAACGCCCTTCTGGGTCATCCTGGGGTGGGCCTTGCCTGGGAGCAGCAGGTGGCAGCTAGGAATGACAACCCCGTGGGTTGAATGAGGGTACTTCCTAGAGGCTCCTGGGGAAACGGCTCCCTCCCTCTTTCTGAGTCACCTGTGGGCCTGGATGTGGGTCCAGAGGGGAGGCCCTGTCATCGCAGTGGTGGGATGAGGCTGACACAGGGACCTCTGTGGATCAGGTGGGCTCTGGACCCACACCCCCTGGCCATTGGGTCCCCAGCCAAGGCTGGTTTTACTGCACCCTGCAGCCAGCAGCTCCCCAGTGAGAACAACGGGTCCTTGGCCATGTGAGTGTTGAGGCCACCCCTGAAGGAAAGCAGCAGATTGGCCGCAACCCCGAGCTCACACACAACAGCTATGGCGAGCCAGGCGAGGGGCCGGGCGGTGTTTCCTTCTGCCGCACGCTGGGTCAGAGCAAACTCAAGCAACAACAGCAGCAGAAGGAAAACAGAAAATGTGTAAATACAGCCCCTCCCCTCTTCTCTTTGCTTCTTCAATGGACACACACACCCCTGCGTTTGGACATTAGTGCCAGGCACCATGCATGGGAAAGAGGGACCCGGCAGACGACCCCCTCACCTGGAACACCTCCTCCGGGATGGCGGCCTTCCAGCCCTCGGACACGCGGAGCCAGCGGTAGGAATTGAAGAGGACTTCGATGACTGTGGAGGTGGACGCACAGGTCTTCAGCACCTGCTCGGAAGAGGTGACCGTGCAGTTGAGAGGCCTGGGTTTTGGGGTCCCAGGTGGGGAAGAAGTGGGGTAGGGTGGGGGGCATATTTGGCTCTGTTAAAAAGAACATTCTGACAAGATAAATTGTATCGGGTTCATTTGGTTTTGGAAAAGATTCATCAACTGAGGTAACAGGGCCCCAGCAAAACGGGGACATGCTTCCCTGAACCAGGCAGACTGAGTGAGGGAGTGGGGAGAGAGGGAGGGAGAAGAAGGGAGTGGAGGGGAGACAGGAAGAGGAGGGCCATGGACTGAATGCCCCCCGCCCTCCCCCCCAGCTATGTGTCAACTTGGCTGGCCGTGAAGCTCAGCGGTTTGGCAGCTGTGAAGGGACATCATATCATCACCTCCTGGATGTGATTTGCCAAGTAAACCAATAAGAGGATTATGCGGGGGATGTAACACCCTTAATCCCATCACAGCACTGATCCGATAAAAGGGGTGTTTCCAAGGGCACACCATTCATCTCACTAGAGATCAGAGGGACCACCAAGAAGGAAGAGCTGGGAGGGGAGTGTGTCCTTTTGACCCAGGCCACTGTATTGTGACCCCGTATTCCCCTTGGTCCAGGGGAAGACCAATGCCCAGTAGCATGGAGATCTCTGAGAGATGCTGAGCCGAAAGACACTGGAAGGAGACAAGGACCTTTCCCCAGAGCGGACACACACACACACAGAGAGAGTGCTTCCCCTAGAACCAACCTCTGAAACCGGTTTCCTAAATCTGTGAGAAAATAAGTGTCTGTTCAGCGAAGCCATCCCCTTTCGGTATTTCTGCCATCTCTGCGGGATCCCACGGACAACAGGCACTGGGCAGGTTAGATGAGAAGCGTGGAGCCAGCGAGGTTTATGCTCATGGTGGTGGAATGATTTGGGAAAGGAATTGCAAGATGAGAATGGCTGTACACCTTGAAGAAGGGAGTGGACCTCCCTGACATTGTCCAGCCAGAAGGAGTGAAAAGGCGTATCAAAGATAATAGAGACATTTAAAAGAGTTTCTTTAATTCTTAGACTCCAGCAAGCCTTGAGGAAAAAACCCAAAGCAAAACCCAAACGCACAGACAGACATACACGTCAGCACAAGGCCCCACAGAGACCCTTTCTCATAGCACCTCGACGGCTGTGCTGGGAGCTGAACACACAGGGCTCCTCTCTCTCCCTCCCAGGACGGGGGCAGCACCCTTTTCCCCCCACCGCAGAGGCGGACTGTGAGGCGCTGGGAGGGAGCCCTGTCTCCATGTTCTAGGAAACGGAGAATCGGGGAGACGCATTATGACACTCCCCGAGACCTGGCCACTGATTCCACTACCACAGTCCCTACTGCCCATCTACAGCCTCCTCTTCAAGGTGGGCACATGACTCACAGTTTTCAGACACACTTTAAAAAAAAAAATGATGGAGTGCCCTGATTTTTGGTGGAAATAGGCAGAGCAGATCCCCCACCCCACAATTTCCATAAGCCGAGTTCAGAGACACTGGCTCCCCCCTTCACATCATGTTTCTGGCTCTGAGATCTCTCCCCAGGGGTGCTTTACCCCCATTGACTTACACTCAGGGGCCCCTACACTGTGTACCTGCGCCTCAGTGTGGTCCATTTGATTTCACACAGGCAGTTATTCTGAAGGGCGTGATGCTCAAGAATGTTCTTTACAACCTCCACCAAACTGGCTTAGGGTCAGGAGGACTGCAGGGGGTATTTTGGTTCAAGGCTCGAACATTTTCTTAGAGCAATGGATTTGGGGATTTCTCCAACCTTGGTGGGTCCAGTAAGTCTTAGTTCTACAAAAAACTTGAAATTCTGTTCCACATTCCCTCCTTTTGATCAAGAATAATCTATAGTGTTATTGATCAGAATATGGCAGTCATGGGAGCCTGGCACTATCTAGTTCCAGTCTCAAGGCAAAAGACAAATTATGGGATGTTTCAAAGTACACAAAAGTAGATTGAATAGTATGGAAAACCCTGTACACTCATCAAGAATTGTGTCCAATCCTGCCAGATCCATTCTTCCATTTACCTCCGGCCCAATATCACTTAGAGCAAACTCCATGCATCCTGTCATTTCACTCATGTCCCTGTGTCTCGCAGAGGACTCTTAAAAAACCAAACCATAAACACAATGTCATTAGAATAGCTGAAAAATGGATAGTTCCTTAATGCTATCTTAATGCCTACACGAAACATACGCTGTTTGGCTATAATGTGCTACTCGTTTAGGCCGGATTAAAAATTTGAAAAATGATGGTTTTGCATCTCTTTTCATATCTAAGTTCAGCTTCTCATTTTATTTGTTGAGCTTTTTTGGGGGGAGGATTTTGATATCGCTTTAAACTAACGTGATAAACTTTCTAAGATGTTCTTCCTACTGGGGGAGACTCTGGAAAGCTGATGCCTGTTGGCATTCTGGAGGGGCGTTAGGCCTGGCACGTGAAGGGTGTGAGCCTCACACGCGTGGGCCTTGTCCTTAGGCACCAGCGCGCCAGTTCTGACTCACCCTGACCCCGTGCACAGCAGAAGGAAACACTGCCTGGGCCTGGGTCACCCTCACAATCGTGCCTACGTTTGAGACCACAGATGGATCTCTGTCCAGTCGCTGTGTCCATCCACCTTATCGAGGGTCTGCCCCTTGTCCTTCCCCAGGGACTGGTCCCTCCTGATCACATGTCCAAAGTACGTGAGCCAAGCTCTCGCCCGGCCTGACTTCCTCCGAGACGTTCTTTCCGTAGTCTATGCAACCAATCATCAATATACTTTGTTTCTGGTCCATACCATTATTCACAGGCCCGGATCTCTGCTGGTCTCCTTCATTCGTTGTCCAGCTGTCCAATACACACGGTTGGGTCAGGCACACCTGAATCCTCAAAATGCCATCTTTGCTCTCTAACAACGTACAGGGGTTTCTGCATCAGACTGGCCTGGGGCAGGGTGCTGTCTGGTTTCCCGGCTGCTGCTTCCATGGGCCTTGATGGGGGAGGCAAGTACAGTGAAATTCTTGACAGAACGAGGGAGTGGTACGTGGTTCCAAAGCAGGAAATGTGTGTGCCAGGGCTGACGCCTTTCACCATCCGGATTCCATCTGTACGCTGATGGACTATCTGAAGAACGCAGCATCCAGACCGGAGGAAGACCCACGGACAACCTTCCACACACAGATGACACAACCTTGCTCGCTCAAAACATAGAGGCCTTGAAGCACTTGCTGAGGAAGCTCAAAGACACTGCAGTTCAGTATATATCACCCTCAACATAAACCAAAGCAGTCAAACTCCTTGCCACTGACTCAAAGCCGACTCATAGCGAGAGAGAGAGAGAGAGAGAGAGAGAGAGAGAGAGAGAGAGAGAGAGAGAGAGAGAGAGAGAATCCTTACAACGGGACCTAGAAGCAGCAGCCTGGTAAGTGGGGGAAAGATCTGTATTTAGTTCCAGGTCATGCTTTGACTTTTTCAATTTCCATAGTTATTAGTATATTTAGTTTTGATTTGTTTTCCTGGAAAGCAATCTTCCTCTTGCAGGAGCGCAGCACTGCACCGGTGTGTGGGTGGAGGAGTGTGTGTGCTGATGGGGATGGGGGGCAGCACCTGGAGCAATCCTAGCAGAATTACAACCTCCCCTGGGGCTGAAGGGGAGAGCGAGTGTGGAGGGGCTGTCTTACCGGGAGCAGTGACCCTCGGAGGGGGACACTCAGCCAGCGTGGAGCAGAGAGGGAGCTGAAGGAACACCTGCTCTGACCTCATCATCTTTCTCTCCCTCCTGCTGCTGGGACAGCCTACTGGTTGACCCCAGGTGGAAGGCAGAGGGCTGACAGCTTATTGATGTTGTTCAGGTAGACAAGCTGGGAATCTGGAAGGGCAAGAGGGTGTGATATCTCCACTGTGTCCATGACTCAGCACCTTGTCATTTGATGAGGGCCCTGGATGGTGGCCCAAAGGGTTTGTGCTTGACCACTGCCCCAAAGGTTGGTGGTTCAAACCCATGCAATGGTGCATCGGGGGAAAGATTGTTGTTGGGCTTGGAGTGACTGCTGACTCCTGATGACCCTCTAGGACACAGAGAACTGGCCCGCTGGGTTTCCTGAGCAGCCATCTTTTCCGCAGGAGAAGATGGGTCCTTTCTCCAGGGGAAACCTTGGCTTTGAACTGCTGACCTTAGCAGCTGAGTGCTTCATCCTGGTGCCACCAGGATGAGAGCCAAGAGGCCCCACGGGAGCAGTTCTACTCTGTAACACGTGGGGTCGCTGGGTGTTGGGGGTCGGGGGTGGGTGGACTCTGTGGCAGTGGGTTTGATTTGGTTGCATTTGAAATTCTCTGTAATTAGATTTTCAATCTCTTGTTTGTTTCGTCTTGCTGGAAGTTTGTCGACTTTGTTCCCTGCCCCTCCCCGGGAAGGAATCAGCGATTGGGCTTCGTTGATTAGATCTCTGTCAGAATATTCTAATCCATTAATTTTCGCCTTTATCATTATTCATTCCTTCCTCTCATCTCTCATCGTGTGTTTCTCTTTCCATTTCCTTAATTGACTGCTCAGATAATTCAGTCGCATTGTTCCCCTTCAGTGATAATAAAAGTAACTTTGAAAAATGGGGTGGCTTTTCCTTTGTACGCGGGCATGCTCACAAATCATACGTTTCGAGGTGCTTGTCTTTTTTTCTTCAGCAGCCCGCCGTTAAGTAGCGGTGCTGTAGTTGTTCGGGACAGTCCAGGCGGGTCCACTCTTAGTGACCTCATGTACAGCACTGCCTGGTCCTGCACCGGCCTCACCGTGGTTGATACATTGGCACCCCCCACCAGGACCTTCCTCTTTGTGGCTGCCCCTCCACTTAACCAAGCATGACGTCCTTCTCCAGAGACTGGTCTCTCCTGACCACAGGTCCAAAGCACGTGATACAATGTCTCACCATCCTCGCTTTGAAGGAGCATTCAGATTGGACTTCCTCCAAGACAGATTTGGTAGTGTGCTAGTTAC